ACAGAGGGTGAACTTATTTCACCATTTTGTTCTTGGCATATACTTAATTTGGGAGTTTTAAAGGACCTGACTGATGCGATTTTAACACACTTGTTTTAATATCATGACCATTACATATTTTAATTGGGTGCTTGAGTTGCTTGGACCTGTTGATTCTGATTCCTGTTCTTATAGCAGTCCACTAAATTGGGTGGCTCCTTTATGCCCGTGTGGGTTATTCCATAAAATTTCTTTAGGGAATAATGTTGTTGTAAGTTTGAGAGAATAATTGTGTGCTCTTTCTACCTCTAATCCCTTCTACTTTCATTTGCGTCTATGTGGGTTTTTCACATAATGAATCTACCTTTTCAGTGGTGCTTTAGCTTTTTCTTCATCTTTGTATGAACCCGAACTTTTTCTATTTGTCTATATATATGGAATTAGAAGTAAATGAATCTGCTATGAGAAGTGTGTTGCTTTTGTTCAATATCCTACGATGGCATATAAAAGAGATAGACATGGTGAAGAATAAGATGAGCTTGGACATAGACATTTAAGAGATAATTATCTTCCCTCATTTGGAGCTTATGGATCTATTTTATGCTGTCATCTGTAAGCTGTCCACCTTGCCTTCACCCCAATATTACGAGCATTTCGATTTTATTAGCTTTATACGATTAAGGATAGTTAGAGATCATAGTTTCTGTGGTTTCCTTTTTTCTTTTAGGTGGTTGAATTACATTGAAATACTTTTATACGTTCCAGATTTCAAAGTAAAGAACGTATGTGGAATTGTCCGTGTAGCTGCATGTTTATTGGCTTTTAAGCTTCCAGTGATAGTGAAAGGAAAAGTTTATGTTTCTTGCTCAAATTATTCATGTGAAAAATAACTGTCTTGTGCAGGTAGAGCCTTCTCCGACAACTGGGTCCTTTACCAAACTGCCAATGGCACGTGACTCTTCTAGCTTGGCTATTTATCCGATGACCACCATGGCTTGCTCAAATGCTAATGCCTCAGATGAAGGAAACTCCAACTACTTCGAGTTCAAGCCATATGTTGGACCAAATATGGTAATTCCATAGGAACTTTTCAGTTGTTTAATTTCAAACACTATTTTGGTCTCTGAAAGTTGGTACTTACAATTTAGTTCACCTAGTTGCAATTAATCTTAAATTTAGTCTCTACTACTAGTTTATGGTCAACTTTTCTAAAAGCAGATAAATCTCTAAAATTTGGAACATATTCACCTTGTGTCTTTTCTTGAATGAAAATTATTATTAGTTTTTCACCAATTTTGATAAAAATGAACTTCAAACTAACAATGTGGACTAATTTTAAGATTTATAGAAAGTACACGGACTAAAATGAGACGAGTCCAAAAATACAAGGACCACAAGGGTACTTTAACCCTAAATATTACAAATGATCTCTAGTTCAAAAATACTAGGTCCTTAAAACCAATTATTGAGATCTGTGAACAAAAAGTTTTTGTATTATTAAATTATTGTTTTGATAACATGTTTAGACACATGAACATGCCAATCAAATATCACTTGCTAAGTGACCTGGTCATGGCAAGAATAGATTGGTAGGAATCTGCAAGGCATGTTCTTCATTCAAACTTTTACTTTTCATTAGATGACATAACGGTCTTTGATTTGGACAGGGATCTTTAACATCAAACAGCATGATAGGGAGTCCATCTTAGTTGTAGATATTAGAGTAAATATTAGCCGTTTGATTCTTGAGGTCTCCATTCTTGTTTTATCTCGATTTTTAAGAAAATATTTTGCATGATTCTTGCTAAGCACAAACTTAAAACATTTGTATTGGCTCTTGTTACTTTCATCCAATAGTTTTCTGACTGTACGAACCGAAATGTTTTATTTTAAGGCACTTTTTATTCTTGGTACAAATCTAACTTCTTTTTTTTTTTTTTTTTTTTTTTTTTT